GATTCAGTTTTCATTAACCTCGTTTCCTGTCAGCTCCTTTCGTCAACTGCTGATCTGAGCTGACTTCAAAGCTATCTAGAGTAGAATAATCGTAGATCTACTGATTTCTTGTTTCGTGGAATTATCTATGAAAGTTTTGTTAAAGATTCATGATTTAAGCCACAATACAAGTACACGAGCGGAGCATGTTATATAATGAGCCAACTATTTTCCACCCAAAATTGCTCACTCCGCTTTATTACAGTGCATTTATAATGTATGTATAAAGCATTTTTAAATGTGCGAGTAGATAGGCAGCATTAGTGTTATGATAGAAATATTTGCAAAAAAAACAAAGTCTTAGAATTTTTCTTGTTTTTTTAGTCATTATCTAGAAAAACTAAAAACTGCTTTCCATTTGGCTTATTAGACTATTACTGTCAAATTGACTTAGTTTCTACTTTTTTCGTGTAGATTTTTTATCACACCAACAGAAAAAACGACACTGATGTGAGTTTTTTTGTTTTCCACGCGAAATCAAGTCAAAACGACGTTTTTGTAGTTTTTATGACAATGGTTGGGACATTCTATGCTACTTGCACAGCAACCGAATATCCTTGTTTTCCGCTTTTTTTTATGCAGATTTTTGCTATTTTCTCGCTTGTGTCAGCGAAGTGCAGCTTCGCCTCGTGTGAAAATTTTTTTTTCGTTTGTTTGTTTTGTGTAATTTTATCCGCCATCTTGCAATGCTATATTTGCTTTTTTTTATCCTAAAACAAAGTAATGAATGAAGATTTTTAATTATAAGGCAATAAATTTTTTTGACCAGATTGCAAATATAGAAAAAAGAGTCACCTAAAGTCACTGTGTCTAAATCAGTTGGCTTGAGTTGAATTATTGTTCCGACCACTGAAAAACGGAAGAACTTGGTTTTATGTTGCGTTTTTTTTGTTTTCACACTAAATCAGGTATATCTAATAATCAGCCGATTGGATGAAGTGCTGTTCTTTAACAAAGCACTCCATGTCATGATACAAAGAACATTGAAAAAAATTCGAAAAGTTTTCTGAGTGATTTTAAGTGTAATTTCAAGCGAATGAAGCGAGCGAGCAGCCTGTTTTAGGAGAATAAGCTTTCATTAAAGTCATAAAAAGATTGTTTTAATCCAGTGAAAATAGGACTCGAAAATTTTTTTCTATTTGATTTTTGTCTTCAAGTATTACTTTTTATGTCTTCAAGTATATTCAAGTGAAAATAGGACTCGAAAATTTTTTTCTATTTGATTTTTGTCTTCAAGTCTTATTTACTATGAGTATCAAACACAGTTTGAAAAAAAAAAAGAAAACAATTTTTCGTAACTTTTGAATATTTTGGTCGAAGTTTCTTGTTTTTATTTGAACTTATGTCATTTAGCTGATGTTTTATGATGGTTATTTTGTACAAATTTAGCATATATTTTTTGCATCGCAAATAGTGCGAAGCTCAGTTTCTCCTCTGTTCGTATGGTTTTTAAAGTTTTTTTTGCATGTGATAGATATTAGCGACTAAAACGGGGTGTTTTTTTTTTCGGGGTTTAGAATTATCGATTCAGTTTTCATTAACCTCGTTTCCTGTCATTTCCTTTCGTCAACTGCTGATCTGAGCTGACCTCAAAGCTTTTTCTAGGTTTTGAGTATTCTTTGATCTGAGCGAACAAAAAATGGTAATTTTTGACGTAATTTTTTCGACTCAAATCGTGTCTTAACTATCCCGTACCGTATTTTTGAAATTAGAAGAATCAGTACATTTGGAATTTAAACTGACTTATACTTTCGCTGAGATAATACCTTCGTTCTTCTTTTGACTCAATTTTTTGTTTGGTATCTGTCTGTTCAAGTTGATTTATTTTGATAGAATCGGCCTTGTTAAACTGGATAGTTTCATTGAATAAAAAGATTGTTTTTGTAAGCTTGCAGTTAGCAAGCGTTATTAAATCGAAACGTAGAACTTCATTGAACAAAATTTATGAATCATTTGGACTGAAAGTTTTTCATTTGTTTTTTAAATTCCCGTTCGATTCGAAATTTTTGTTTAAGCAATTCGTTGTCAACCAATTTTGACTTTCAATCATTTCTTTTCGAGTTTTTAATCAAATCTGTTTATCCGGCGTAAACGGTTAGTCTTGTATCGACTTTGTCGTCTCTTTATTGGGACGTTTGAAGGCAAAAAAATTGCATGCGTATGTTGGGGGAAGGTGAAAGTTTCTTAACTTTTTGGAGCTGTTTGTTTTTCCGACTTTTTTCGCTCAATGGTTATGGACGCATGTTTTGTCGGATTATTCATTTTCATTTCAATGCAGAGTCAACACTTGCAATTGTCGAGAAATAGTTTGACGAAATGAGTAAATTGTATGGACATTTTGGTTAATCCATTTTTTTCCTAACTGTTTTTTAGTGGTTTTAGACTAGTTGTTTTTACTTCTAACTGCGCTTTGCCTGTTTATATAAAAATTTAAAAAACCGATCTGATGTTGCTTTTTTGGTTCGAACACCCCATTGAAAGGGCAGAGAGGAATCATGGCGTAATGTGGGCTATTCTACCCGATTTCAGATGCACCACAGAAGTTGCGGAAGGGCTCAAGTGTATTATTATAATAAAACTTAACAAATTTTTTTATTGTTCATTAATTTTACGCAAAATTAGGAAATTGCAAAAGACACTTACGCAAGAAATTGAGCGGTCCATTCCATTAAATTTTAAGGAAGAATTTTCTAAATGCATTTTTTTTTTCAATTTTCAGATGAGTCTTAACGTTTGATAATTTTAATTTAAATGGGTTTATTAAGAGAAATGAGCGTAGTGAAAACTCTTATATAGGTCTTGCTGATTTTTTTTGTTTTTTTTTTCAGGAAAAAAACTTAAAGTATTGATGCACTTAGGTATAATGCAATTTTTGGGTTCATTTGAAATTCATCTGCTGAAAGTGACGTAAATAGCACTCTCCAAATACGAACAAGGAAATGGCGCGAAAAAACGTGAACGATTTCAAGTTTCAAAAGTGGATTTCCCAGCGGAATAAAAACTTTACCTATTGATTCAATTTTCTCAAGTTGTGTTCATGTTATCAAAAAAGCGCTAGTCATACATTGTTCTAGAAATTCAAAGAGCTTGAAGGCCATTTGTTTTTTCTTTGAAATTCGAAAGTTGAGATGTTTTCTAGAAAGTCAGTTTTTTTGTTATGTTTACTTGCGTTCATTACTTTTTTCCAATCTTCGATTGGCTATGTTTTAGTAGGTTTGTTTCACAATCGACGGCAATTAATGTAAATTCAAAAAAAATACAAGCGGCATCTGAGCCGATGAGACTTAAATAATTTCGCGTAGAACCCAAAGGGTATTTTTAAGTTTAGTTGGCTCAGTTGCCCCTTTTTAATTATTTTTTGAATTATTTTTAATTGCCGTCGATTGTGTATCTGGATGTGCTTTCCACAAATCGAAGATGATTCGGGACATTTCAGTTTTTTTCAAGTCTCGGGGTTTTGAGTTTTTTTTTCTATTTAATTGGACTTAGTGGCTTTCTTTTTCTGTCTGAGTCAATGAATGAGGTGGTTACCCTTACTTAGGTTAAGTAGTTTTTGGTTCTTATTCTTTCAAGAAGCTTAAATTTATGTTCTGAAACTCAAATATAATTTTTTCTTGGTTTAGATTTCAGTTTTTCAAAAAAAAACGAACGAAATGCGGTGGTGTCGGTTTAAGACAAGATTCTTGATACATGATCCAGCCTAATTTTCAGTTTACCAAATTGACTCTTGGTTTTTTTTAATTTCCATCCACCTTCATTCACGTTATGAAATTTATAGGTCGTTGCCAGTTTTAGTTTTTTTTTATAGTAAAAGTTTCAGAAGATTGAAAGTTCAAATCAAATTTTTGCTAAAAGGCCTAATTGGGAAGATTGAAATGGCATGAAAAATGTAAATTATTTCTAGTTTCAAGGAAGGATTTTATTTTTTAGATTTCTCCTCGGAAAAGAACTAAGTTTTGATAGATTTTCTTAAGACTCTTTAATAGGTCTTGCCCTGTTTTTTTGTTTTTTTTTTCAGGAAAAAGTCTTGAAGTATTGATGCACTTAGGTATAATGCAATTTCTGAGCTCAATTCAAATTTATCTGCTGAAATTGACGTAAATAGCTCTCTTCAAATACGAATGTGGAAATGGCGCAAAAAACGTGAACGATTTCTAGTTTCGAAAGTGGAATTGGTTTTTAAGATTTCCCAGCGGAGTAAAAACCTTACCTGTTGATTCAATTTTTTTCAAGTTGGGTTCATGTTATCAAAAAAGCGTCAATCATAAATTGTTCTAGAAATCCAAACAGCTTAAAGACCATCTATTTTTTCTTTGAAATTCGAAAGTTGAGATTTTTTCAAGAAAGTCAGTGTTTTTTATGTTTACTTGCGTTCATTACTCTTTTCCAATCTTCGATTGGCTATGTTTTAGTAGTTTTATTTCTTACAGACCTGACATCACTTTTCCTTAACTTTCAAAAAATGTTTCGGTTCGATTTGATTAAGTGTAAATCTTGAAATTGTAAGTTATTAATTTTTATCTGATTGCAAATGTAACTATTTTTCAAATTGATGACATCATTTATCAGCTCTGATAGATACGTGAAAAATTTGCTGTTCACTTGGCTTAGTCTTCCTTGCCGATTCATTTTTTCTCAGGACTGGTTGGCAATTGTTAACTCTGTGGAATAAATCGTTAATCTGTAATATCTTTTTTTTTTACATAGCTCATTTTCAATAATAGTGAATTTTCTTATTGAGACATGGAAAATTCAATTCAGTAAGTTTTAGTAAGTTAAAAGAAGATTTTCGTAAAATATTACATTAAAAGGCAAATCAGGCAAAACGGAATATCTGTGAAGCATGATCCTCGTTTTAAATGGTATTGATTATTTTGACTGGATTTAATCTGAGTACTTATTTAAACAATTGTTGCTTTCGTTCAATCAAATATTTTGCTTGGAGGAAATTTTTGTTTAAGGTCTGGTGAAGCTAGCTGTTCATACAGTTACTGGGGACAAAGTGGCCATCAAAATCGTGAACAAGGACAAACTCAGCGAGTCAGTTCTCCAGAAGGTTAAAAATGTTCACGATCTGTTTTTTGATTACACTTGCGAGAGCAAGTGTCTTGTGAAATATCATATTTTGGAAAACTGGTGAAAAGGGGTTAAAAGAGACGATTGGGAGCTTGGTAGAAATATCTAAATTTAATCGGCCATATATAATTAAAATGGATATTATCTTCGAGCATTATTTTTAAAGGATTATAGAATTTAATGTTGCTTATGTTCTTAATTTTATTTTAGGTTGAGCGGGAGATCGCCATTATGAAGCTAATTGAACATCCTCATGTACTGTCGATATTCGACGTCTACGAAAACAAAAAATACCTGTAAGTGACTAATCCTTTCTGAAGAAACGTATCTTTTTGGGCATTTTAACAACCGCTGAACGGGTACTAGAGAAACCGTGTTCGAGAAAAGTGTTAATTGCACTCGAAAGAGGGTAATGCTTCTGAAGTTAAACCGATGTTTTGAGCTTTTCAAATTCCTCCATTTGTAGGTTGATCATTTGCGTTGAAGTTTTATTTGTTGAAGCAAACAAGTGGCACTTTCGTTTCTGCAACTGTTTTTGCTTCTTGTTCAATTAGAGATCTCAAATGAGTTGCAGCTTTGTTTGGGTACTTTATGCCTTATGTATTTCTGCTTTGACGTGCTTGGGTAAAAGAGCTTGTTTCGTATCACAATTAAAGAACCCGCGGACTTAGTCTTTGGCTGGTGCTTAGAAGTTAGACGTATCGAGCGGTCAGCGGGAATTTATCTAAATATTTGCCGCATATTGTGATATTTGCATGTGCCATGCCTTTTCGAAACCAACATTTAGCAAACATAACCGAACAAGTTTCAACATAAATAGGAAGTAAAACCAAGCATTGGTCTGATCATGTGACCGCTTAGCTGTGGCACAACTCAAATCTAATGCTAACTGCTTCATAATTCCGCAGATTTCATGTTGTGCTTATGTATTAACCTCAAACTGAACCATGACTACTGTCTCCTTATTTTTTTTATCGACAAATACATAAAAACGAAAATTTGTATCTATATAATTTAATAAGTTTTGGCAGGTCTTTTGGTTTTTGTTTCTTTGCTACCAAATCAAGTAGTCTTATCTCTTTTGTTCTTTTAGGGTTGGGGGCGCTATAAAATTTTGAGTTACTGCAGTTATTTTGGAACTTTTAAAAGGCAGTTTTTACCATTTCATTAAATGCTAAGGAAATAGACCGAGCTTTCTTCAGGGAATAATTAACTAAATTAAAATTTTACTGAAAGTGCGCATTTATGAGAGGTATAGAGAGTAAATTAATATGAAATTTCGCCTAAGTAACTTACTGAAAACGATCTTTTTGTGACTTCCGTTTGGATGCACGAACACATTTTCTAATCAGACTGAGCGTACCTACTTATTGAAAGTAAAAATGTGGCATATAAGTCAAAAGTGTTCTTGAAAGTACTTGGATTTCACTTTTCAGCACCATTACCTTAATGCACTGTTGTTTTGCGGTCAAAATAGGACTAGTTGTGTTTTTTGACGTAGAGATCCCGTTGGAAAACTGATTTTGTCTACATTTTAACGCCGGAAATGTCAGTTTACTTCATATTGATGCCAGTGAAAATTGGATTAGTTTTTAAACGTGACGAATTCGTTCCGCCTGCCCTCCGCTAATATTTTACCACTGCCCACCGTCCCTGGGCGTGAAAGACGGCTAAATGATGCGTGTAGGTAAGCCTAGGATGTAACTAGATAATTTAACTGTAACTGGAATCTTATCAATAAGAACAGACTGATGTTTCTGTAGATGCATTAAGAGGTAATCTGCTTCCTTTAGGCTCCGCTCACTCCGTATTTTAACCTCGTATTAACCGTGTCTCTTCAACGGTGATATGTCTTTTAGACTCTTAACAGATATGCGTTGGAGCGGCGTTGATCCGGATATATATTTTAAAAGATTAAATCAACTCAGTTCAAAAGATTTAAGATTTCCTTGAATGTTACCCATTTTTACGCAAGTATTTTTTGGAATGAGTTATTATTTTTTATTAATTTGGTAAAAAAAGCAGATATATTTAGTATTGTTTCGATTTCGAGGTGTGTCGATTTGCCGAGCGGTGTCTGTCTTATAAATAATAAGAGCCCACTCCCTAATGGGTGGAACTGTTGCTTGAATTTATGGATATGTTCTCGCGTGTTCATCACTTCATATCTCGCAATAATCAACAGACCAGAAATAGTGCAGATACGAAGTAGGTCTCAGGTTGGATATTGAATAAAATAGTGATACTTGATCCATTTCTCAAAATCATGTGTCAAGGTCAAAAGTGGCCTGATTTCAACTTGAAAGATGGAAATGGAATGGGAAATGTAATTAACTACCTGAGCAGAAGGAAAGGATTTAAAATGGACACCGGCATTCTGATTATATATTTTTATCCACGGGTATTATTGACACTAATCTTTAATCCCAGCTATTGAATGTCCAAAACATCCAGCACAGCTAAAAAAAAGCTGTATGCTTTATTTCACCAGCTTAAATATTTTTTCAATTAAGTATATTAAAGCTGACATTTATTCAAGTAATTATGAAGTAAACATGAAGTATGAATTCAAAATCTTTTTTTTTTAAATGCATCATATTAAATAGAGATCAGCTTTTAAAGCGTATGCCGGCAGAAACATGCTAGCTGGGTTCATGATAGGATTGAAGTGAGAGTCTTATTTAGTGAGATTGAGTGTAATAAGCTGTTGATTAAGATGACGTCCTGAGTTGGATAGAAGGAAGTTGGTGCCACCAGGGGTCTAGGAGGGGATCGATGCACATCTAATTGGGTCCATTGTTATATCCCCACTCTAGTCAATTTGATGTTCCTTACTAGGGTTCACTCGCCGTAGATTCATTGATGCATCCACTCAATAGACCACACTGATCCAATTCATCAGCATCATCTTACAAGTCAGCATGCATACCGTAGAGATGATGATATCTCCTCTATCATGCTGAAAGTTAGTTTTGGACCAAAAAAAATACTAGTTTTTGTAGCGCTTTTTCTCAAAACTGGTAGACTTTTGAAGCCTTTCGAGCAATCTTAGTTTCGGTCAAAATCGTAAAAGAGAGGCCAATGTCGTCACCTTTGGGCTGATAAGAGGTCAAATTTCTGAGGGGGGGGGGGAGAGATGTGGATATCTGCGTCTATAAATCTACCCTCATGCAGTGGGTTAGTAGGCTTTGTTCTGGGTGGGTATAAAGTTACGGTTCATTCTAGTTAAAACTACGAATCAAGTAATGTCTATTAAGCTCTATTAATTCAATGGTGGCATATGACATCATAGAACTATAATTAGGTTATATGTTCCATTTTTGATTAACTCCTTAAATTGCCTTGCGTAGGTGTGCGATGTAGCTTTTAGTTTTATACAACCCAGGAAACAGCATTCTGTTAAGTTGCAATTTAATAATTTTCTTTTTTTTCTGCTCTAGTTCTTTATGATGGAACAGTAATGTAGTTTGAATTGCATTAGCTCTTGAGAGTAACTTTTCCTTGTTCGTTTGATTCGCTCCCATTGTTTCAATGGTCTGTGCGCTAGAGGCTGATTAGCCTAGTTGGACTTATGACGTGGAAGTTGGCAAGGTGTACTAAGGGTATTATGACTGCTCAAATAGACTTTCTTATTTGCATGTGAACTCTTCTGTCATGTTTTAGGGGTAGATGCTGTTTTTTAGCGGTTGTTGATAGTTGCTACTATAATAGTATCCCCCCATTACACAAGAGAGGAGATTTGTTGATAGGTGCATATTTGGTACATTGCTTAACCGTTGAGTTAGTTCTTTTTAGGAGATGCTATTTGAAGGTGTGATGGGGGTGGGGTTAAAGAAATCCCAATAAAGCAATATTTTCAAGAGTGCCGAATTTTTTTTGTTCATTTGCCTAAACAGTAGTGGATTTAGGGGCGGCAGGGGATGCCCCCCTCGCCTCAAGGATTCGACCCTCTGCCGAACCAAAGGGCCCACCTTTGGATATTCATTTTTGGCTGGCTGACCCTTAAATTTTTCTAAAGGCGCATATGGCGCTAATATATGCCAATTTTACGTAGAGCGCGCCGAAAAAAAACGCAATATTTTGGTAAATAGTTTCCCAGTGTCGAGAAAAGTGTTTTAATCCTATTTCGAGAGAGTAAAGCGAGCGCAGTCTTAGAGATAATTTTCTTATTTAGGTGGTGAAAATTTTTGTTTTACTCAAAACTAGTTTTGGAAGTTTTATTTAGCGCTTCCTTAAATGTAAACAGTTATTATAAAAAAAATTAATGTGCAAATGTACAAAAAATCGGAAATATGTATTTTTTCATTTAGTTTCTACTCTTGCAATAAGCAAGAGTATTTCAACTGGGTTCTAGACTTTTTTCCCGTAATTAACTTCGTTCACCCAATTAACTTCGTTCTCTTATTATGTCCAGTTATAGTTGATCTTTACGCTAGCGAACGTAAGTGAGTGTTAATGTTATATATACTACAACTAATCTTTTTTTCTAACCTAAGTCGCAATTATTGTTGCCACTTTTGGGGCACCTGTACGGCTTTTTGATAGCTTGTGCTTTGACACTCGAATAGTAATAAGTTAACATAATTGATGCATTTTAATTCATGTCATGAATCGAAGAAAGTGATTTGTTTCAAGCAACATTACAATAGTGAAAACTTAATTTAAGAAATTTTCTCACTCAATATAACTCAATAACTGCAATTTTTTGAAGTGCATAATTTATACATAATGTGGATTTTTGCTTTCCGATTTTTATTACATGCATAGTTAGTGTGGTTGCCCTCAGTTTATTATATTCCCAACTATTACTTGCAATATTGTGTCTATTTGAATTTGGTGCTACTTTCGCTGCATGGCATTGGCAATTTGTGAGCAGTTGCTTTTTTGTGACTAATGTTTGCCGGTTGTTCAGCGTTCGTGGCCGAGGGGGCAGGGCGTGAGACTCCAATTCTCGAGGCCTTAGGTTGGAAGCCCATACGTAGCAAAGTTTGTTTTTACTTCGAGGCTTATTTCTATTTTTTCTTATTTCACTTTATAAAGTTGCTTTTGTGTTTTGTTCTTGCTAGTATTTGCGAAGCGCAGCTTAGCCTCTGTGTCCAAAATATTCTCTGAACGTTCCTCAAATATTTTGAGCATTGCATCTCTGCATTTCTTTTTCTCTTTATTTTAGAAAATTGCCTTATGTTGGTTGTAATTTATCCGATTTATTGATTTGTTTTTAGTTTTTTACTATCTCATTTTATTGAATCGGGTTCGAAGGTTTTGTTTTATATCATATCGGCTTTGTGCCTTTGTATTGCATCGTATGAGCTGATAATGTTCTTAGGTGTGTGTGTTTTGAGGGGCGGGACCTATCTTTTCTAGTTTCAAGTTTTTTTGATGAAAACAGTTTTGTTTCGACTCAATGGGTGCCTGCTCAAGTTTTGTCGGCTTTATGACCGCTCTGTAATTTTTTTTGCGATGCTTATTCAGCATTCAATTGTCCTAGTTGACATACTTTTCTACAAGGAATTTAATTCATGGCGAAATGCTACAACCATCTAAATGTCCTCTAAATTACTGCCTGTTTGATTATAACTGGTGTTATGAAAATGTATGGGATTGGGTTTTTTTATTTTATTTTTGATTAATTTTTGACGCTTTGGAAAAATTTTTCACTTTTTTGAAAAGCTTAGTTTTTCTCGAACGATTTTCTCGAACGAGCTTAGTTAACGATTTTCAAAAAGTTGCTACCAACGGAAAGTCGTTACACTCTCTGTGTGCCTGCATAATCATCTGGTCTCTTTTTATTAAGTGTGTGTGGGAATTTTTGACCCAATTTTTTGGATTTTTACATTTTCTCGAAAACTACCCTCCCAGATCTGAGATTATGGTTTCAACTGATAGAACAGTTTGTGGTAGCTCCCCTGCATACGCGGCTACGCCCAATTTTTTTAAACAAAAAGTTATGGCCCTCAGAAAAATCAAATTTTCGATTTTTGACCGTTTTTTGAACATTTCTCAAAAACTACTCTACCAAATCTGATATTTTAGTTTCAATTGAAAGGACGGGTTGTGAGAACCTTCCCTGCGTAAGCGGTTACGGACAAAAAAATTTTTACTTATAAAGGAATGACCCTCGGAAAAGTCGAATTTTTGATCTTTTGACCGTTTTTTGAAACTTTTGACTTTTCTCAAAAACTACCCTCCCGAATCTGAGATATTGGTTTCAGTGTGAAGAACGGGTTGTGGAGAGTTACTGTATAAATGGTTACTCCCAGTTTTTTAACCCAAAAAATTATGACCCTCGGAAAAGTCAAATTTCCTCCTTTTTTTATACCGTTTTTTGAAACTTTTTGACTTCTCTCGAAAACTACCAACCCAAATCTAATGAACAACATTTTAAGCATCTTTCAACCTGACAAGATCTTGTATGCACTTTTTTAAAAAAAAATTGAATTAATTGATGAAATTAACAGATTTTGAAGTCATTAAATTGGTATTTACTTTTCTTTGCTATAGGTCTGTTTTTGAAATTGCCCTTGTCCTTCCGCATCAATACAAAAATTTCAAAAATTATGAAACAGTTATTTCCAGCTTTAGCTGGCATCTAGTTTTCACGTTTTAATTATCGCATGTGGCGCGAAGCTGCTTCGCCTCTGTGTTCAAAAGCAGCTGTTGTGGATTATTCTAATTTTTTTTTCGTATATTTTTCTCATCACACCGTGCACGCAATCGACACTAAATTGAAAACAAAATTGTATTTTTTTTAGTGTGCTTTGAACATTCTGTGCCAGTTGTGCAGCAACCGGCTATTCTTGTTGAATCTCTGTTATTATACCTTATGCGATAAAAATTTGTGGAGACGCAGTCTTTTTCTGTTTCCTAAAATGAAAAAATAAGCGTATCGAAATTCTGATGTGGCATTTATTGCTTGACCTGAAGGCTGTTGACATAAGCTCATGACCAGGTCAATAGCAGTAGAATTGGAATTGAAGCAGTTAAATAGGTGGAGATTTTTGCCTGAAATGTATTCAATCTGCGATTAATCAATATTTACCTTTTAAGGAATATGCGCTGGCCATCTGCATTTGACGCTTCAAGCCCGAAATGGGATATTTTTTCCCATCAAGAGTGCTTGATTAAGTGTAACTTTCCATCCTTTTAGTTTTAAAAGGAATGTTCTTTGGTGTAAAGTGGCAATGGCGTTGGTCGTAAAATTTTGCTTTTTGCGTATCGATTGGCAGATTCATTATTAACCCAGGACGCTATTCAGAGATGCATGTTTGAATATAGGAATGTATTGTCGGCTTTGTGACCGCTCTTTAATTCTTTTTTTTTGTGACGAGAAATCTTTGTGGCTTGTTCTTTTGTGGTATGTACCAGCCCATTAATCGGATAATCTTCTTAAATCATGTTTTCCACATAGTTGCTATTCTGGGTGTCATTTTGAGGAAATAAATGCTTATCGGATTGACCTTTTCTGCCTACGGGGCGGAATAAATTATTTCAATACGGAGTAGAATTTTGATGTGTTCAATTCACTGTATTCGAGAATTGAAAAAAAAACTTGAAACGAGATTTGCAAACTGAAGGAATTGCAATCTACAGTTTTTGCTATGCACGGTTAGCGTGGAATGCAAGTTATTGATCCCTATGAACTGTTTACAAGACCGATGATTTTATATTTTCCTCAGTTTAGCTTCAGATGGTATATTTATAGTACTTCGTTTGCTTTCGTGGGATCTTTTAAAAATCCCCTCTCCTTAGTGAGGTAAAATGGAATGTTTACGGCTTAAACAAATTACGATCCTGTCATATTAATGCATATACCCCATAATACTCAAATCTTTTTGAAAGAGCTTAGTGCATGAGATCAGTTTTGAGCATAGTATAAATCAGCAAGGTATGACTTCAGCGCTAAACTGAATTTGTATGTCTGCAAACAATTTTAGATGGACGCCTTTTTAAAAACCTGGGGCATCATTTATTTTCGTCTGATTATGCTTGCGATTAGCAAGCGTTATCAAATCTGAATATAGACTTTTTCGGGTTAACAACTAGTTTAACAAAATCAGTTGAATCATTTATGATGCTGATATACCGTTGACATGCTCCATTATATGAAAATTCAAATTTAACTAATGGGTATTAATTTTTTGTATGTACAGTTATAGAGTTTTGATATTAATTTTCTTTTGATAGTTTTTCGGCTTCATGGTTGTCAACTTAAGCTCTGTCAGTTAAGCTGCCAAATTATGTAGTCTGCTTTTCATTGGCTACTTATATAGCTATTGAGGAACCTATGTGAGCGTTAAATGAAATTTTTTCCTTAATGTTTTTTTGATGAAAGCTTTCAGCTTATTGGATGTCGGCTTCAATTCTATCGGCTTATGTACCATTTTTTATTCGTAAAAATGTACAATAGTGTTTTTGAGATCAACAAGAATCTTGCTGCAATTTTTTTGAAAATTGACCCCTTTGAAATTGTTGAATAAATTCAAAAACGAAAAAAGCATTTAGAATTTTTTTTTCTCGTTTTTCCGCTTCCTTAACAATTTTAACATAGTTCGAAGTTGTGTTTCCTAATTTCTTAGCGTCATGGTGCACTCATCCTATAATTGTTGCCTTGCAAGTGATGCGAAGCTCAGTTTCGCCTCTTTGTCAAATTGCGTAGATGGTATCAAAATGAACATATCATCCATCGTTATGAATGATTATTTGTTATCTCAAGTGATTAAAGATTAGTTAGTTAATTTGTTTGTGTGTGTGTGTGTGTGTGTGTGTGTGTGTGTGTGTGTGTGGGGGGGTATTTTCAAAGTGTTCTCATAGTTAAGGCTAGCTTTGTAATTATGAGGGTATAAATTAGTGGCGCAATGACAGGGAAGCAACGATGAAGTTTTAGTTGAGCGGTGTGGAAATGAGCGATAAGTCTTACAGATAGAAACATCAGCGAGAGTAGATGTATAAAAATAGAATTTAGCTCATTTTTGCTAGAAACATTTGGTAATGTATGAGGGAAAGTGTTATTACAAAACTGTTACTACGAGGATTAAAAGTACCAAAGATGGCCGGCTGCTGTGCAAGTGCCACATAATGTTCCAACCATATTCTTAAAAAACTACAAATCAAACTTTCAGTTTTTTTTGTGCTTGGTGTGATGAAAGGATTTGAACGATAAACTAAATTTTAGGCATTTCTGTATTCATTGTAAAATAGGCATATTTGAAACATTTTTCTTCGAATTGTGACTTTTTTATTCCCAAAATGGCGCTTAAAAACTTCGAAAACTAATTTTACTAATCGTATCTGGGCTTTAAAAGAATTATGGCCTGTTTGCTGCTAATATGCGACTATCCTTCTATAATAAGCTTTCTCGCTCGCTTTACTCAATCAAAATTAGACGAAAACCAATATTCCAAACTGGTTTTTCTCGATACTGGGACAACTTTTTATTATTTTCTTAGAATCATTCGAATCACGACTGAAAGGGCTTTAATATGATGTAAGACTCAACCCAGTCCGATGATTTTTTGTGATTCCTGATCTTGCGGGGAAAAAACTAATACATACCCGAATACGAACCCGTTAAGAAATTCCTCCCAATTTTCAATGGTCCGTAAATGTGTAAAAGTTGACAATTATGGATTTTTTCCGGTTTCAAACAAAAAATGTATATAATTGAGGAGTTTTTTTTTGCGCTACTCGGTCTGAAAGTGTTATTAAAAAAAGTGCATTCAAATCAGTCTGACAGCACTTAATAGATTTACAGTACTGATCAACGCTAACTTGGTTTATGAACCATTTTTTTTGTTTCCATTTTTGACTGACTTATTCTAAAATCTGTTTTATGGCGCCAATATGCCGTAACATTGGCGCCAGATGAAAATATCTTTAAAAAGCCCCTCTGATTTCTTAACATAGTGGTGATTCCTCAGTAAATAATATGAGCAGATAGTACTAAGGATGTTTTTTTAAATCAATTTTTGATGTGTTTTTATACTAGGTATCTAGTGTTGGAGCACGTGTCAGGGGGCGAGCTGTTCGACTACCTGGTGAAGAAGGGTCGTCTCTCCCCTAAGGAGGCCAGGAGATTCTTCCGACACATCATATCAGCCATGGACTTCTGTCACAATTACTCCATTTGGTAACTACAAATTAAACCAACAATGATCTTTTTAGTCTGACCAATGTGCTTGAAATGTGAATGATGCTGAAAATAATATATGAGATTGAAATTAAATAATGAGAATGATGCTACCTCTAACAGCCTGAGTATTTTGAAGGTACGAAATGATGTAATTGAGTCCCTATTGTTTTGCTTGATCTGTATGAAAGGTTCGCTTGTCTCATGCGATGCTCTCGGTTTTGATGCCCTGAGCTGAAATCTGAACATATATCACTTCCGATCGAATTAATCAAACTCCGAAATTATTCCAATGTCAAACAAGGATAGGCGGTTGCAGTACAAGGCGCACGGGATGTTTTGACCACACATTTGAAAACCAGGGCTCAACAAGACCAAATCAAGACCAACGGCGATTTATTTGATGCAAACTTTTTTGAGAGGTGGTCGGAACAACAAAAAAGAAATGTAAATCCCAAGTTTTATGTGTTTGTGTCAATGAACGAATTGAAGACACTCATTCAGCGGAACAAAAAATAATTCATGAAATTCGAAGAGCCTTAACCTGTTATGTTTTTTGGTTATCCTAGCGATCATCATAGTATATTAGTGTGAACCTATTTTTTTTCTGACCGAACTCGCAAATAAAAGTGTTCATTGAAAGTGGAAAATGTTCACTTATTTGGTGACACTTTGCTATAATCACGATCTAGACTTGAAAGTTTTGTAGCATCTGTTCTCCGGTTTACTTGTGGCTAGTGTTTGTGATGTAAAAAGCGTGCGTGGCTGAGTGGTTAATGCGCGAGACTGATAATCTTGAGGTCGCAGATCGAATCTGAGACCTAGTCGAATTTATTTTATACTAATTGAAGGCTTGTTTCTAGTGTTTCTTTTCGCATTTTATTGAGCTGCTTTTTTTCCTGTTTTAGCTAGTGTTCGCGAAATCTGTCGAAATTTGAAGCTTGAAAAATTTTAATATTTTCAATCGTTTTTTTTTGTTTCCTTTTTCTTTTATTTTTTTCCAACCTTCTGTTGGCTATGTTTTGCTTATGGTATTCAGTGTCTTTTAAATTATATAATGGCTGTTTTTTCTGAAATTTGGTAAAATCTGTATGACAACCAGTTTTTCAAGAATTTCAATATTTTAGAAATATTGGAAACTGACTGTTAGTGAATTGAGTTTTGAAAACATGTTTTCCTGTTTTTTTTTTCTCATTTTTAGCAGATTTTTTTTTCAGATCAATTGCAAGATCGTTTTTTCTAAAAGTACTATCAGTCAGGTAGTGATTAGGTTGAGTTATTTTTAAGAAGTAATTATTTTCCCAAATTATTTCATGATTCGTCTTTTTCGTCGTAATTTCCATGATCTGGCATGGTTTTTCATTTGATGACTTTTCAAACCATGGGTTTTTAATTTGATTTAAAGAGTTTTATACTAAGGATAATTTTTTTCCAACTTAACTCGCAAGGAAAAGTTCGTTTGGTGGACATTTTAATTCATCGCGTTGGCAATTTAATAGCAGCTATTTTATTGCTTTGTTGGTAGTTTATCTTCACCCAATGCCAAGCGACCATGGTGCAGATGCTAGGATATAAGCGACCATGGTGCGTGATATTCTTAAGCTCTACTTTGTTGTTCGAAACCGGCAGATATAGAGGTTTTGTTTTTCCAAAGCTTTTTTACCCTTGCTATAAGCAAGGGTATTGCAACCGGGTACTAGACTTTTTCCCCGTTAACAACAGACTTCGCACGTGTTTAACTGTAGAGGTAAATGTAGTATGTGCATATATGGTTAGTTACTTGAGTGTCGACTTAAATTCCGTCGGCTCATTTTCCGATTAATTTTTCCAATTTTTCCAATTACTTTTTGTTGGTTTTTTAAGAATGGTTGAAGTCTCACAAAATGTTTTGGTTGAATCACGATCCGCTTTTTGTTCCTAATAAAAGTGAAAACTTAAAAAATGAAAAAAAAATTGGAAAAATGTTCGAATTTTTTGATTTTTTCCAAAAAAAAGTTTTTTTTTCGGTTTGGTTTTCTGTTTGCAAATTAATTTAGGTTCTAAGATTTTCTGATTTTGTTTGTTAATTCAGATGTTTTTATCGTGTCTTTTTCTGGTGTAAGTAATTGTGTTTATGTGTTTCGCAAATTTTTGTTTATTTTTCTGTTAAGTTTTTCTACAACAATAACAATTGAAAATATGTTCTCATTGCTATTTAGGCCATATTGATTTGAAAAGTGGCTGTTCAATAAAAAAACGAGTACCGAACAAGCCTGAATTGCCAGCAAAAGAGAAATAATTAATTCAAAGTTTTTAAGTTCATAAGTAGTTAAATTCAAAATAATGAAGTTCAAATTTTAATCGTTTTGCAAAGTCAATTTGAGTGGCTGTCTGCTATTTTTTGTTCCACCAGTTTTGCGTAGTTTCACTGTGTTAGGATGGTAACCGGGAACTGAACGTTTTCTGGATGTCTTAGACAGCCGATGTTACATACATATCAACGTAGAAGGTTTATTTTTTCGTTTCTTTTTTTTTCAGGAAAAGTCCTAATTACTTTTTCGTGGTTTGATTTTTGATTTTCTTAAAGTTTATTTGTGTACTTTTTTAAAAGGAAAGAAAACTGCAATAGCTAAAAGCAAAAGAGTAAAGGTCACCACGACGTGATCGATTTCTAATTTCGAAAATGGATTTTAAGTATCCCAGCAAAAAAAAAATATTTACCTATACATCAAATTGCCTTTCAGTATTTAAGCCAGTTGACAGCATTTTGTTTGATTGGTAACACAGACACTATACGACTGTTTTTTTTTGCAGAGACCTTTAAAAAGCAATGATGGGATGATAAATTAATGATAATTTTTGAACCAATGGATTTTAAAAAACCTAATAAAATTGATTTGCTTTTATTTTTAATACTCAATCATTTTTGTGCCTTCTGAGAAAAGCAAGACTAGTCGCAGAGACTGAAAGCGTGAAAACTTGAAAAACAAAAGATTTGTATATTAAAATCATCAAGTTCATTTACCGGTTTTTTAAATAGAACAAATGTGATTGCCAAACTCCGATACGGGTCCTCTTTCTTTGATAGTTTCAATAATTTAAGATGAAAGAATTTTGGCTACGGTTAGCTTTTTTAAATAATCAATTTCTTCGTCTTTCAGCCATCGGGACCTAAAACCGGAGAACTTATTGCTGGACGAAAAGAACAACATTAAGATAGCTGACTTCGGCATGGCCTCGCTACAGCCTCCGGGAGGGTACCTGGAGACATCGTGCGGATCACCACACTACGCGTGTCCTGAAGTCATTAGGGTAAGATAAACATATCTATCTTTTTTACTTACTTGCTTACTTGCAGGTGTCTACTTCAAACTCAAGGTGTGGCTATTATCATCGTCATTATTTCTGTTTCTGTCTTTGACTTCAAAAACGTCTCAGCTAGTTTAAAAAAAAAAGGATTTTAAAAACTCAATTGAAATGATGAAGAATTGAAATGATTAATTGAGAGCAGTTATGATCTGCGCTACCTTGTGCTTTTTTATGAGGAACATATAATCGCGGTTTGAACATCATCCATAAAAGCATCATCATCAATTTTTTTGTTTAAAAAAATTAAATGTTTTTTTTTTGCTTAAATGGTCTATGTTCTAAGATTGTCGACTTCGTTGCCACATCACGTATCTGCTTGTGCTGTAAGCAACTGTCATTGTACTTGCAAGTGCAAGTGTTATTCAATGTAGTTATAGGGGGAATTGAAAAAAAAATTTGAAGCTAAATTAATTTTTTCTCGGCTCCACTTTTGTCTGCTCAAAGAGTGTCGGCTTTGTATCCTCTTCGTAAGTTTCGTTCTTGTGCTAATTTAATGTTAAAATGTCTGGAATTTTTGCTTAAAATCAAATTCTATTGAGAAATTTTTAATTCTGGCAGACCTAGTTTTTTTCTATTTCCTTTTTTTACTTATGTTTTTTCATTGTTGTATCGCAAGTGATGCGAAGCTCTACTTTGCCGCGGTGTTTAAGATTATTCTTCAAAAGTACATGCTCTTCAATAATTTCTTTTTTATTAGCCCAACCCTGTTTTAATTTAGTGACCGTAGACATCCTTGAGCCCATAAGTTGTTTATTGTGCACCAGTGAATTGAATGATGGTAAATTTTTGTCGTTGAAAGTCTGTGCTTGATTCCCTCGCTTGATTTATTTACCATCTGAGACACAGCTCCAAGATTTCATGCGTCCTTTCTTGTCGAAATGAGGGATTTACTTAAGCGTTGAACTCCAGATCTATTTTTGGTTCAATTATTGGTATAAGAATGCAAACTAATCTATTGATTGTTCAAAAACTGATGGTATCTGACTGAGTTGAGACTTGGTGAAAAGAACACAGAAAGGAAGATAAGAATTTTTTTGTTTGCTTTTCATGACGGCCTCCAGATTTTGATGTATTATCTGTAAATTCTCTAATGCAGCAAGTGGGGGCAGGGCGGCCAAGAAGTGTTATGCGCAAGTGGGCAACTGTACACATAAGAAGGGGCAAATCTAAGATCAGGGCTGATTGGGTGGAAGTTATCTGCTAGGTGGTAGTTACAGATTTGTTTAGTAAAGTTTACATGTGCAGTCATGCCAGAAAGATTGCATAATAGGATTACGCAACATGGTTGCATCAGTAACCGATGAGGCAAGTGGCATTGCTTGTAAACTAAAAGTTTAATCTCTTTTGTTACTGTTGGTATGCGGAACAAAGAAAGATTGAACGCTCTCTACATCGTATATTTTTGCTCTGCAATTGCTCTGCCATTTTCGCCCCCAATTTCCATGCTCTTATCACTTCTTCCCCTTCGCTCCCAAAGGAAATGCTCGCTATGATTTTGTCTCTAATGCAATTCAGAAACGGGACATGCAGCCCCAATTTAACCCCTTTGTTAAAGTGAGCGCCGCAGAACCAGTCTTTTCTTTTTTTACTACCATGAGTCGATCTGATTTATTTTGATGTGCCTTGATTGCATTAGCGACAGAGATAAGATGTATTACGTCTGCTACCCTACTCGTGCTTTGAGGCAGGGATGATTAATCATGTGGCGCAGATGAAAGTTCACAAGTTAATCGAATCAAATTGACATCAAAGAGCTAGTCTGAGCAGAAACTAGATACTATCTTAATTCTAGGTCATTAAGATAACTTTCTAGATGAGGGTTTTTAGGTAGTATCATAGACAGCCAACTATTTATTTTTCTTTGTGCAAAATAGACAGCTTGTTACGATGTAAAATGCCTATAAAAGATTGTTACATTTTTTTCGACTGTGGATTAAAATGGTTTTATCATGAGATCCATGAAAGTTTAAGCAAATATCATGGTCTGAAGGTAATCAGAGAAATCTATGTGTTAGAGCGCGGCTCCAAAATTTTTTCGGTTAGTTAAATTATATTTGATTTTCATTTGGGAATATTATTTTGCGCGAAATTTCGAATTTTCTAACGAGCAGGGTTGGCAGCGAATTAATTCGGCTCAAAAATCATCCAAATATGTATATTGTGACAGTTTGAACGACAGTCGAAGTATTCAGAGTATCCAGCTGATACGAAGTCTTTCGTTTTTCGCTTGAGTTTGCAAAGTGCAGCTTCCCTATATGTTAAATTATTGTTTATAGAACAGGAAAAAGTCATTGTTATTTCAATGCTCAAGCGAACAGTTTTTTTTGTACTCAGAGTTTGCCTAAATCACATCTTTTGCTTCAGTTTCAATATAGCACAATTTGAGAGCATGTTGAAGCCCTATTGCAGCCCATTTATTGCAGCTTGATTTCTGATGTAATTAAGTAAGACAGAAAGGCCTATGGGTTAGGGGAAAAAGCAAATTTGTTGCAATCTGAGTTTTGAATCGCGCAGCGCGTCAACTCTACAGTGAGTCGATGAACGTAGTGAAGACTCCGCTATAGGTCGTGATGATTTTTTGTTTTTTTTTTTTCAGGAAAAGTTGATTTTTTTTTAACTCAATTTTGGTTTATCACGGTTTGACTTTTGATTTTATACGCTTGCGGTTAGCAAGCGTTATCAAATGGGAATATAGATTTTTTTCGGGTTAAATTTTGCTTAGAAAAATCAGTTGAATCAGGTATTACGGCTGTTTTGAGGACAACAAACGAATATCTGGCAACAGATATTAAGAGTCGATGAGCGTAGTTCAGTATCTTATGGAGGTCGCGATGGTTTTTTTTTTCAGGAAAAGTCCTTTATATTTTTTCAGGCTCAAATTTGATATTTCGCGTCTTACATTCATTTTTTTAGTTTAGTTGATTTCTTCTATTAAAAAGAAGGCAAACTCCACAATCAAACAGATAATTGGAGGTTGTTCTGTAGTTTGTAAATTTACTAACTCTTATTCAACTTATATTGCGTAGATTGAAGGGGAAGTTTTTAAATGCTTTTGCGTGTTTAAGGAGGACTGTAAACGTTTCGGCTCTTATTTTGTCTTTTTTAATGAAACTATTTTACATCGGCATAAAGATTAAAAAAATGATAATTTATGTTTTTATTAAATTGGGTCGGCTGGTGGAATATAATTTGAAAATATTTTTTGAGAATCCTGGACATTTTTCGTTTTCGGTTTAATTGGAGTCTAACCGCGTGTTGTCAGCTTTGTGAACCCGTGCAAAATACTGAAAGCTTGTTCAGTGCTAGTGGCTGTGTTTGTCGTCTGTTTGTCAGAGATACAATTTTGCTCGGAAAACACTAAAAGCTTGCCTCATGCGAGTGGTTGTGTTTCTCATCTATTTTCCCCTGATTTGGTTTTTCGCATTTTCAGTTTTTTTTCCAGGGTTATTTCCATCTCACTGGCCATTCAGTAGCTTGCAATGGTACGCTTTCTATGTATCGCAAGTTATGCGAAGCTCCGCTTGGCCTCTGTGTTTTAATTTTCAAATTTCTTCATCAAAAAGTGTCAATTATGAATTGTTCTTGATTTTCAAAAAGCTTTATTTTTTAAACTTCGAAAGATGAGACATCAGAAAACAAAGTATTTATTATGTTTAGTTGCGCTCATTGACTCTTTTCCAGCGGTCTGTTTGCTATGTTTTTTCTAGGTAAGTTTTTTTTCCTAGAACTTAAAGCTCGCTTTTGCTATTATGCGAATTGCAGCTAGCCTCTTTGTTAAATTGATTGACTAGTCCCTAACGTTGCATTTCTTATGAGTAAGTGAAGACAAAGTCAGCTGCCCATTTGTTATATGACCCTAATGAATATTGTTTTGTTTTTCTTTTTCAGGGGGAGAAATACGACGGACGCAAGGCAGACGTTTGGTCCTGTGGTGTCATTCTCTACGCTCTTCTAGTCGTAAGTGCAGATTCGAATTCTTTCTTCTGCTGATTCTTTCTTCTTCTCTAAAATGCGAAACTATCCGAATAAAATTTTAAAAATTTTGTGAAGTTTCGTTTGTGTCTTATTTATAAAGTGGCCGAGAGTTGCAGCAGTTTGATAAAAGAAACTGTACCAAATTCCTAGCGGAACTGCTGGCTTGTGATTAGATTATTTTGAAACATAGCTTCTTTGATGTATTCGCATGCTAAATTTATCGTAGTCTTTTCTTATGTTCATGTTTCGTCTATCTTCTGTTGTCCTCCACCTTCTCTTCTTGCACTCCCAATCACACTTACACCAAAACAAACAACTGTGTTCTTGCAAGAAGCTAAGAGGTTGAGTAGAGTGTTCTAAGAGTATAACAGAGACTATATTAGAGAAATTAACTGTGAAAATGACTCAAAAATTGAAAAAGTTTTGATAGCCGGAAATGTATATCGCCGCTGTAACCATATCCAACAATCTTGAAAGGTGAATGAACTTCAACCTATTGTGAAAGTAGAAAAGGATAGGAAAAGTTATTCAAAAAGGTTATTGTACTACTGGAGCTGGTATGCTTCACGGAAGACCCACTAACGATTTCATTGTCAGTCACAAACCCAGTTTTGAAACAGCTTTAGGTAATGTTACGAGACCTTCAACTTGGGCGAAGCTGTTATGACAGCTTGAAAACATTTGCAACTAAGGCGCTTTCACTGATCCATATCTCAGTACAGCGACGCAATCGTCAAACTAAAGCCATACGATTGTATGGCCCTATGATATTGAAACCATTTTCCATGGTATGAGTAGTGAAGACGAGTTTAACGATTTTTTGTCCGGAGCCCTTCAGACACTCGCTAGGTTATAGTAAGTTCCAGAAGTGGACTTTTGTTTACAGTGGAATAGATATCATCCATGAAATCTTGTTTGCTTAATTATTAATTTTATCATTCAAGTGCTGCAAACGAGTTTTTTCCTGCGAATAACTAGAATCCTGGAACTGTGAGCTTGCTTATATTAAGAGTCGATGAACATAGTTCAGACTCTTGTATAGGTCGCGATGATTTTTTTTCTAGGAAAATCTTAAAATTTGTTCAGGCTCTAATTCACGTTTTCGCGATTTGATTTTTAATTTATTTTTGAGTTCAGTTCATTTCCTTTATTAAAAGGATAGAAAACTTACTATCGGACAGCAAAGTTATGTAGGTCACGAACTACGTGTTTCCCTTATTTTCAACGACTTCCATCTGATTTTTTTTTTTGTACTGTGGCATAGCAGAAAATCTAGCAGAAGACATTAAAGAGTTTGTTTTTATTAAACTGTTTCACATGAAAGTCGTTTTCCTCTGCCTGTCATCCTGATATTAATTTTCCTCCTAGCATAGCCAGGCTTTTAGGTGTCCATGAAAATGAACTTATTCAGGTCTTGTTGATTTTTTTTGTATTTATAGGAAAAAGTTTGATCACTCCTAAATTTGATTTTTGCGGAATGACTTATGTTTTCGTCCTATAGTTTTAACAAGATTATTGGAAAACGTATGTAAACGAGCGAACTAGCCAAGGTAGTCTAATTTTACAAAGTCCAGTATTTTTCAAGCTAACTTTCAAATGTAGTGCTTGTTTTGGTGGAGTTTTTGTTGCGTGGTATTGGCAGTTTCATGGAATGTATTCCCGAATTTATCTGTGACTAGTGTTTGGTTTCTTTAAGCATCTGTGGCAAAGTTATATAGAGCAGCCAACTTGAAAACTTGGATGTCCATGGGTTGAGATTCGATTTTCGTGCAGTTACTTATTTTTCAAAACGTATTACTATTTTTTCTGTCTAATGGTTCTTTACACTTGCGATATTTTTTTTCCCCGTAAACAACTTTGTTCACATAATGGTAATTTTAGTGGGAATGGTAAATACCACTTCTGACATGCTCAAATTCTTGAAGTTCAAATGAAATTACCATCAATTAAGCAGTAATTACCTAAAGTCTCGTTCAGATTGTTACGAAGATTTCAAAAAACTTCTCAATTTTTTTTTGGGTTAATGGTTTTCGTCCTAGTTTTTGTCGGTTCCTTTTCCGTTTTTTAAACGCGCATTTTAAAAAATCAGGCAGAGTTTTCTTGGCGTATTGTTAAAGCATGGGGTGTGTTTCCGTTTAAATTTTTTTTACTGTAACTGAAAGTTCGGTAATTGTAAATTTAACAAATCTGATTTTGTTTACTTTTTTATTATGATTTAAAAATATTTAATTAAATTGTTATTTCGGCGTAAGCAAATTATATTGCGTAATTTTGAGGGCAAAAAAGTATTCGTATAGAATTATGTGCTTCAGTATGGATGGGTCGTGAAAACTTTAAAACTTTATAGAAATTTTTTATGACAAGTTTTGTTTTCGGCACAACAGTTTTCGACACAAAATTTGTCGTCTTTGTTGCCGCTCAGTGAATGATTTCCAAATGTTTTTAAGGCTGTTTAAGAACTTCATGCGATACAACCATGAGGCTTCTGTAGCTATAGTTTTCCCAATTTATTCAAGTTATATTTTCAAGTAATTTTTTCAACTTAATTTTTCTGAATTTTTTGTTGTTTTTTTTCCATTGACGGTTGTAGCGCAATGTGTAGTGCGATTCGAAGTTTTTCAAGCAAGCTCAAACTGGCTCTTGTGTTCTGCCACAGGTTTTCATGAAAATGAATTTTAGTTTAAAACAAACATTTAAAAATTTCGGATGTTGTTTTTTGGCGTTTTGTCAATTATTTTTTCGTTTGGATGGCTTTGTATATCGCAAGTGGTGCGGAGCTCAGCTGTGCCGAAAGCTACTTCTTAGTGTGTTTCGCTTGTATTGGCTTGTGTAAAGCTACTTCTTAGTGTGTTTCGCTTGTATTGGCGAAGAACAGAGCTAATATCAACCGTTTTTGCTCAGTCTTCTGGACAGTTTTCTTTGAAGTTTCGCTATTGGTTGTTGGCGGCAATACTGTGGAAAAAATGCGTGGTACACCGGTAGAGAGTAAGTTGCAAAAGTTGTAACAGATAAAGATATAAAAAGGGCAAATGATCTATTTCAGACAATTTTTGCGTTCAAAAGTTAATGCTTCAGATAGGAATTATGTCTCAATGTCATCTAAAAATTAAACTTTGCTGGCGAAAGTTGCTCAAAGTTGACAAATTGCTCTTTTTATATATTTTTTACTGTCCCAATTTTTTGCTTTTCAATAACTTATATATCTCTAGGTGATTTTTTCGTTAATTTTTATCTTGAAAAAGTCTTGAAGTTTGTTCAGGCTCAAATTTGATATTTCGTGATTAGACCTTTGATTTCTTTTTCAAGTTTAGTACATTTCTTTGTTAAAAAGAAGGCAACTCCACTATCATTCAGCAAATGTGTAAAGGTAACGAAAAACGTGATTGACTTTTGTTTCGAAAATGGAATTAATATATCAGATATAACCACCAAAATAAACTATTATTATAAATTTTCGAAAGTTCAAGTTTTGTCAAAAAAGAGTCGTTTTTTCTTGCGTTTATTACTCTTTTTGAACTACCTTTTGGCTATGTTTCCAAATTGTTGGCAAAATTGGCACAATAAGATTGGTCAAAATTGTAATTATTCCGACTAAGTGGGGAGAAACTTTGTGTTCAGATGTGTCGAGGAACTTTGTATTAGGGTGTGTTTTAGTTTTCTTTTTGTTTTCCACGCAAAATCAGGTGTCTCAAATTATTATTTTCTGGAATGGTTCGAGTTATATCAAAAATTAAGTATCTTTCAATTGTGATTCCAAAAGACTTTTGAAAATTTTCAAGTTTCGAATGTATATTTTTGTGCTTCTTTGGCAAAAAAGCGCTACTCATAAATTGTTTTAGAAATTCAAAGAGCTTAAAGGGCATCTATCTTTTTCTTTGAAATTCGAAAATTGAGATTTTTTCAAGAAAGTCAGTGGTTTTATGTTTACTTGCGCTCATTACTCTTTTACAATCTTCGATTGGCTATGTTTTTTTAGGCAAGTCTTAAAAATTTTTCAGGCTCAAATTTACTTTTTCGCAGTTTGATTTTGATTTCATTTTAAGTTCAGCTCAATTCCGTTGTTAGAAGGAAGTCAAACTTCACTGTTGAACAGCAAAAAGGTCACGAAAAACGTGATCGACTTCGTTTCGAAAGTGGAATTTAATTTTCAGGTTTCACTGCGAAATAAAAAAAATTATGTATTGATCCAGTTTTCTCAAACTGGGTTATTTTCATCAAAAAAATGTAAGTCAGGAATCTAAATTTTTAAAAAGAAAGTTTTGTTTTCTGTGCTTTGTGAAGCTTGTTTCCGATTTTTTTTGGCTGTTTGCCTATTTTGGTCTTCTTCTTAGCCTGCTTCTTGTGACCGTAAGAAAAAAATATTTTTCAACAGCGCAGATGCTTATTTGAAGCCATATGAAATGGCTACTGTGTACTGTGAACCTTTAAAGTCTGCGCACCTCTTTGATTAGGTGTTTCCTTCCAGCATATTATGCTCTACTGCTGCCTATCAAATTGCACTCCGAACTCCCCAGCTCAAATGGCCTTTGACTGCTGCTCTGAAGTAGTCTTAAAATAAAGCACACAAACATTGACTTGATATTTTCCATTATTATAAGGTTTTTTCCGCACCTGAATTATTAAAAAATAATAATCTAAAAGGATATTTTGATCAATAAAATCATGTTTGATTAAAGCACAAAAACATAGCTTCATATCAGAATGGCCAAATTTCTTCTGCAGTATATTTTTTGTTTTCGTTTTCGTAAAATATTGCTTCCTGCTGTTAGAATGACATTTTATATCCCGTTTTCATAAAATGTGGCATTTGATGTTTCCAATGCTGTCTGAATAATTAATCGGGGAGACCAAAATAGTAGCTGCTTCATATGTCTCTTATCATGTTTGAGTCTGCAGATCGTTGTGGCGGCATATTTTTCAAGATTTTGTGGTAACTGCTACCTCATGCATTCAATTTCAACAATGTTAAAGACTAACTAGCGAAAGTCTGCCCGTGTCGCTAGCAAAAGACGCCATGACTATGAGATGCTGTTTTGGTTGTGGTTGTTGTTGGCCCGGGGTCGGGTTGAGCTCTTCTGGCTCCAGACTCAAAAATTTCGCGGCATCCACCGGCCGAACACATATGTGCAGGGGAAATTAGGAAAGAGTTTTGGTGACAGTTGAAAAGTGTCAAGTAGTGTGGGGTTCAAGGGAGCTTAATTTAGGTTCGTTTATGTTGTAGGGTGCGCTTCCGTTTGACGATGACAACTTGAGACAATTGCTGGAGAAAGTCAAGAGTGGAAAGTTCCAAATCCCGTCGTTTGTGTCACATGACTGCCAACAGCTCTTGAGAGGCATGATTCACACTGAACCCGAGAAACGACTCACGGTATGGTTAAGTATTATTGTAGCCGATGTAGATATTTAAGCAGACTTGGCGTTTTTCAGTTGAATTAAAATTTGTGGAAGCTAAATTTTTTGTTGTGGCAACTTGATATCACTTTTCCAATTTTTATTTCACGCCCAGATAACTTCGTTCGTTCAAGGCTCGTTCTGTTTTCACTGGTAGATGTATTATTTAATGAAAAATATACATCTAACCTGTTTTCTCTAAAAGAGAGATTTTAAAACAAATATCATGTTCAAAATTCGATGCAATTGAATCAACTTTAACACGAGCTAATCTGCTTTAAACAAATTCGAAAAGTAAGATGTTTTACATTACATTGTGTTCGATTTGTCTGTTGTCTATCTCGAGGAAAATAAAGTTATTTGCCTAGCACATGAATTTTTTGGCGATTTTCTCCTCGGAAATCCGATAAACTGATAATGAATGATGAGATCAATGTATTAGGCCACGCATGGAGATCGATTTTGTAGAATGGCTTTATATGTTATTCCATTTCTTAACGAATGGTTCAAAGACTACGACGAAAAATAGTGTTTGTTTTTAGCTGGAGCAGGTTCTTCAACATACGTGGGTAGTAGGGTGAGAACATTTTCTCTTACATTCGAATGACCTTTTAAGAGCTTTGCAAGGTGTCTTCATCTTGATCTGTTTTAGAAATGACCGAGGAAAGGAGAATTTTCTAATGGATGTAGATTTCAGTTCAACTCCTTCCCATGCCAAGGTATGACTTTTATCCGATGAAAGAGGTTCTAGATTCAACTTTCAAATGAACCTTTTACCTGAAAATTCATGTCTGTTTAAAATAACCGTGTGCCTTTGTAAGATTTTGAGGCGCTGCTTCTTTTTTATCAACAGTTATGTTTGTTTGTTTGATGAAAAGTTCGGTTTGTTGACTATGTATAAATATTTGTTGTTGCTTAGTCTGCGGCCGTGGATTGTGTGGAGGAGATAGACATAGACGTGTTGAACAGCATGAACATGTTGGGTTGCTTCAAGGACAAACAGAAGCTGATTGGTGCCCTGTTGAACAATGAGCACAACACGGAGAAAGTGGTGTACCATCTTCTATTGGACAGGAAGGAGAGGAAGCCCAGTTACGAGGAGGAGGTCGAAGTCAGACTCAGGTCAAACACAGCCTCCAGTGAGTCTTGTCATGACATAGTTGATCGTAACTCACTACTTGTGATGATACTTGAGTGCCTAGAAAAGCAAGATTGAAAGATACGACCGACCGTTCTTGTGAAAAGATCAAAACCGCGATAAACGCATGGAAATATATATGTTTCTGAAGCTCTTAAAGCACATAATTTTTTTTTCAGGAACTCATCTATGTTTTAGGAACCCAACTAACATACATAAACCTTTTTTAAAAACAAATTATGAATTTAAATCCTTCACTGCCTAAAAGATTCATTTTAAATCTATTTCTATTGTATATTTAAATGCGGGCTTCACCAGCTCGCCGTGTTTAAGCTTTTTCAACGTATTATTTTAGCATGTTTAACGAAAGAATTTTTGCATGTTTAAGCTATATCGTGTATTGCGATAAGATTTTGAATTCAGTGTTTATTTCACCAAGTTTAAAATCAGTAACCCAGTAGTGGGGTTAAAATAAGCCACCCAACTGTCAGCGTTCTCCCAGGGGTTGCAAATTTGGCCTCCAATTATAAATGCACAATTTTTTTTACTTAACAAGATACGACAATTTTTGTGATTTTTTTCTGTCCCAGTCCTGTCTATCAGAGTACCCAACCTTGTCTGTCACAAATTCCCAACCCTGCTACCAGAGTACTCTCAAGGCTTGCGAATCTTGCCTTCAAATATGATTTCCCAGCCCTGTCTATCAGAGTACTCTCGAGGGGTGCGAATCTTGCCTCCAAATATGACTGCTCAAATCCGTTTAGTTTTCGACATTCTTTTATGACAAATTTTTCAGAAAACTGAGATTTTAAAAACATCAAAAATTTAAAATTCCGACCCTTTTACTTTGGTACTGTCAGGAGTTGCAAGTTGCAAATTTTGCGTCCAAATGCGGCTGCTCAAATGCTCTTAGTTTCCGAGATGTGACGTTTGTTATTTCTATTTTAAAATGGTTCAAAAAATGTAGATGTAAAAAATTTCTTTAAGTTTGCATTTCCCATCGTTATAATGAGAATTTTTCTTTCCTATAAAATTTTTTGGTTGTTTTTCTAGCCATTTTTTTTTACTTGTACTGTTCGATTATACTACTAGGACTGTCGAGTATCCTTAATTTATAGTTTTACGTGAGCTCCTTTTATCACACCACGCAGAAAAAACTTATTTAAAGTTATTGTAGATTTTTAAAGACTATGGTCGGAACATTCTTTGGTACTTGCATAGTAGCCGGCTATCCTGATTGTTTAATGAACAGTTACTCTTTTTTCTAGATTTTGTTTCTTTCAGCATTTTAATTACACTAGCATCAGCTTAGTGTATTGTTACGAATCTTCTTTGTTTTCTGACTTAACTCTTGGGACACCCTTACAGCTTTTTGATAGCATATGCTTTGACAGTCGAATAGTAATAAAATAACACAGTTGATGCATTTTTAATTCTTCAATTGAACAGAAAAAAGCTATTTGTTTCAAACATCAGCACAATAATAAAAACTCATTTCAGAATTAAGTAATCTCGCTATATTTTTGAAATGCATAATTTATACATAAATTGGCTTTTTGCTGACCAGTTTTCTACATGCAAACTTAGTGTGGATGCCTAGTTTTTATATTTCAAACTAATACATGTAAAATTGTGTCTATTTGTATTGTGTATATTGTTTGAAAATTGTCAAAGGCTCGTAGCGCAGATGTGCGAACCGAGGACTATAACTCTCCTGGTTATAGGATTGATTCCGCTACAGCAAAGAAATGTTTCAATGCTTATTTTAATATTTTTTGTTTCATTTTATGGAGCTACTTTTATGGCATTTTTTCGCTAGTGTTTGCGAAGCGCAGTTTCGTCTCTATGTATAAATCTTGTATATTTTGTTAAGATAGTCCTTTTCATTAGCAGAGCCAAACTAATTGATCTTGTCGAGGATATGGTCTTTTTAAGAATGATGAACATGGTCTTGGTGATTTTTTTGTTTATTTTTTTTTTCAGTGAATAGTCTTAAATTTTGTTCAGGCTCAAGTATGATATTTCGCATTTTGATTTCTTTTTAATTTAAATTCATCTCTTTTGTTCGTATTTGTACGAACCTTTGTTTTTTCTAACCTAACTCGCAAATAAAAATGTTCATTAAAAGTGTTCACTGATTTGGTGACACTTTTGATATAATCATGATCTATAGAACTGAATATTTGATAGCATCTGTTCTTTGCTTTATTTGTGGCTTCTGTTTGTGATTTATTAAACGTCCGTGGTTGGTGCGTGAGACTCATATTCTCTAGGTCGCTGATGGAATCCGAGTCGTAGCCGAATTTTTACTAATTCGAGGCTTTTTTCTTTTTTTTCTTATTGCATTTTAAAGAGCTGCTTTTTTCATGTTTTCGCTAGTGTTTGCGAAGCTTTGCCTGTGTTTTTGATAATAGATTACAATTTACAGATTTTCCAGCTTGAAAAAATATTTTTCCCAATTTTCTCAAATTAGGGTAATTTTAACCAAAAATTTCAATCATTAGTTATTCGTGAAATTCAAAGAGCTTAGTCCATATATTTTATTCTCTGAAGTGTCAGTGTTTTTTCTATTTCCTTTTTGTGTCTTTTTTAAGAGTCAATGAACTTATTGGACTTTTTCGCATAGTCGTGATGTTTTTTTGGGCATTTTGTCACGAAATTTAATTCAATCACTCTCAAATTTGATTTTTCGGCGGTTTGATTTATGATTTGTTTTCAAGTTGAGTTGATATCTGTAGTTAAAAGGAAGGCAAACACCACTAATGAACAGCACGAGTGTAAATTCAGGAAAAAAGTGATCGACTTCTATTTTCAAAAGTGATTTTAATATTTGGATTTCACAACGGGAAAAAATCACCTTGAAGGCCAAAGAGCTTTAGTGCTGTTTAGTCATCGGTTTAATAACACTAGCGCAGCGTAGTGTATTTTTACGAAGAAATTTTTTTCTAACCGGAGTCGCAAATAAAAGTGCTCATTTGGTGGCACTTTTGGTATATTTCAATTTAATCTATTATATGTTAAAATGCGGGCTTCACTATCTCTCCATGTTTAAGTTTTTTCAACGTATTATTTTTTGCATCTTTAACAAAAGAATTTTTGCACGTCTAAGCGATATCGTATATTGCAATGGTTAAGATTTTTTTTCGGTTTTCCAGTTTTAATTCAGTGTGTATTTCATCACGTTTGAAATAAGCAACCCAATAGTGGGATTTTGTCAGGGTTTTCACAGGTTTTGCGATTCTGGCCTCTATATATAAATAGTCAAATCCTTTTAAATACGAGATACGGCAATTTCCAGGATTTTTCAAAAATTTCTTGATAATTAAATTTAAGAAAAAAAATTCTTCAATTTTTGAAGTTCTCACCCTGTAGTTGAGTGTTGTCAGGGTACTCTCAGGGTTTGCGATTTTTGCCTCCAAATCTCACTTCTCAATTCCTTGTAGTTTTCGAGATATGACGTTTTTTATGATTTTTTCAAACATTTCAAATAAACTTTGAAGATCGCAATCCTGTTGTTGGAAATTGTGAGGGAACTCTCAGGGGTTGCGAATTTCGCCTCCACATATGACTGCTCAAATCCTTTTATTTTTCGAGATATGACGTTTTATGATTTTTTCAAAATTTTTCAGAAAACTTAGACATAAAATTTTTCACAAAATTTGATGTTCCTATCTGTGTGGTGAGGCTCTGTCAGAGTACCCCCAGGAGTTGAGAACTTTGCCTCCAAATGTGACAGCTCAAAAGCCTGTAGTTTTCCAGATTTGACGTTTTTTTCATGACAAAATTTCATGAAAATCTATATCTATTATATATTTAAATGCGGGCTTTACTGTCTCGCCATGTTTGAAGCTTTTTTCAGCGTATTATTTTTGCATGTTAAACGAAAGATTCTTGTCATGTTTAAGCTATCTCGTATTATGCAATGGTTAATAATTTATTTTTTCGATTTCGCAGGACGAACACAGTGCTTATTTTCTGAAGTTTAAAATTAGAGAAGCAATTGTGTTATGCTGCCAGGGTTCCCACAGGGTTGCAAATTCGGCCTCCAAATATGACTGCTCTAATTTTCATTTTTCAGGAAAGTTAGATTTGAAAGTTAGGCAAGAAACAACAGGATTCAAAATTTTTGTCATTGCCAACACTAGTTGGAGCTGTCTGGGTACTCGCAGAGGTTGCGAATCTTGCCTTCATTTTTGACTGCTCAATTCATTGTAGTTTTCTCAGCCTTGAATTTAAGTACTTTGAGTGTTTTTAGGAGTTCCAAGTCGCAAATCTTGCGTCAGAATGCGACTGCTCAGTTGTTCTTAATTTACGAGATAATAAACTGTTCAAAGCACATAGATATATAAACTTCGACAAAATTTGAAGTTCACATCTCTATAGTGAGGCTCTGTCAGGGTACTCCCAGGGGTTGCGCGAATCTTGCCTCAAATTATGACTTCCCAAATCCTTGTAGTTTTCGAGATATGACGTTTTTTGTGATTTTTTCAAAAAAACTGACGTATTCGTATTCGTAACCCTGTAGTTGGGAGCTGTCAGCGTACTGCCAGGGGTTGCGAATTTTACCTCACAATATGACTGCTCAAATTATTGTAATTTTCGAGATATGAGATTTTCAAAAATTATTCAGAAAACTGAAATTAAAAATTACTTTCTTCACAATTTGAAATTTCTAGCCCTGTACTTGGGGCTATCAGAGTCTTGCCAGGGGTTGCTTTCAAAAAATGTGTTTCGAAAACTTAAAATTGAAGTTTCTCTAAATTTGAAATTCGCAACGCTGTAGTTGGGTACTGTGAGAGTACTCTCAGGAGTTGCAAATCTTGCGTCCAAATGCGACTGCTCATTTCCTTTTAGTTTCCGAGATCTGACGTTTTTTATTTCATTTTATTGTTATCCATTGTTTTTCAATGTGTACAACACTTTGATAATTTTCAATTTTTTATGGTTATACAAATTTTGAAATTACCAACCCTGGAATTGGGTGCTGCAAGAGTACACTCA